TATGGGGCATGTTACCAACCAATAAAAACTATGAAACAGAACACAAACTTGGGAAAATAAGTCTGTGGCTTCAAGCTTACTTTTTTTCTGATCTGTTTTAGAAGTGCTCTCCCTTCTCAGTACGAGTTATTTTTTCAATTCTTCCCACCCTTTAATTCATTACTGTTCATCACATGCCCCCAAACTGGGAGAAGACAAGAGGTGGGTACAAATACACAAACCCGAAAACACATATGAATCAAATCCAGAAGCCCCTCCCCCTCATTGTATCCAAAAGTGTCCAGAGGGACAAGAATGAGAGAGATGAAGATATTACCACCTCTGGAATACAAGTAGCACCAATTAACACATTTTCAGAATAGAAGGATTTTCTTACTAGGATTTTCTAAAATTACTCTTTCTGAACAATACCATTCAAATGTGAAGTTGCAGTGAAGAGAACATGCAAAACTACCCGAACGAGTATTTCTTACAAGGGAAAAAGAATTCCCATTAAACTGATGCCTTTTTTTCTTTTTTTTTTTTTTAATTAGGCCTAGAGCATTAGCCTTATTTTTTCATTCTATGATCATCATGGATTTGCCCTTACTGCCATTTCAAGTTTAGCGATACATAAGCATTAATCATGGCAAGATATAGTTGACCCTTTTTATGCTGCTTTTAGGTCCAAATTAATTGACAGACACTCCTCTGGGCAAGAACCTCTTTCTTTCTTTGTTACCTGCCACACAATGAGGTGATGTGGCTGCTGGTAAGCAGGCCTCTAGCTGTAAAGCACATGCTCATGTCACCATATGTTCTAGATCCCAGATTAAAATAATCCAAATAAAGAAAGCAGAATTTAAAAGAATAAGATAGGATGAATGTGCAGGAATCAGACATTCAACTATCTCAGGAAAAAAACTTTACAGAAGAGGTGGAAAGCCAGGTGGTAGAGTGTGGCAAAACAGATACCCAGGGCTGAAGAACCATCCCAATTAAACCCAGATGCTCATCTGTGGAGAAAGGAAACATGGCATGCTAACAAAATGTTGTTCTTAGCACTTCACACTTACTGTCACTGCAACCACACCAACCTGGTCTGCTGAGCTGTGCTCTTCCAGTACCCATTAATTTTGGTACTGAATAAAGAAAGGCAAATATGTAACAAATTTGCTTACAGAGTTTCACTTTTTTAATACATACTGTAACTGATTATTTCTTCCCTGTCTCCCCAAATACCTTAGGGCTTCAGTTTACATCACTAATGGCTTGAAACAATTCCTTTCCTTTAATTATTTCAGTAGGCAATGATAAAAAGAAGCTGAACGGAGTCAACTTTGCTCTAACATGGACATAAGAGATACAACCGTTGTCCAAAGAATATTATCCAAGGAAAGTTGAAGTCTTAGTTAAAAAAAAAAAATCAAATGCAGTTAGCATCAGTGAATTCATTCAATACTGTCAAAGGATCATTCACATTCAGGAATAACTTCTGCCATCACACCTGTCTACCAAGATATTAGGCTTTAAAAAAAAAAAAAAAAAAAAGGTCACAGGAGTATTATGCACAGATTTACTCCTTGCCATTGCATAGTCAGGAAGTTCTGACATTTAAGATTACTTGAGAGTAAAGCTGTCTGTATTTGCAATTTGAAATGAGAAAGTACATCCTGCCTGTTTAAATTATTCCCTGACAGGTTGCCCAAAAAGATGATTTTAAAGATGCCCAAATGTGTATCTGCCTAAGGCCATATTGTACTTGCTTTCCGTTTCAAAGACCTCCTTTCATCTCGGAAGAATGGAATGTTGTTTACTGCTCAGGATGTTTTGCCATGTTATCACGAATGTATTACGAATGTTCTGCTTCTTGAACTAGAGAGTGTTTGTCAAAACTATTCTTTATTCTATATGAGAAGTCATAAGCCTTTTATAAATCCTGCTCAGATATATTGGGACACTTAAACGTCTAAGTCTAAACATCCTTCTCAAGTTTGCTATCCTGTATAATTTCACAAAAAAGAAAAAAGGTCCGCAGAGAGAGTTGCTTTCTGGTAGCATGAAGCCTAAGTACTAGGTACTGGAATGCAAGACTGCATGCGAGAAACAAAAGCAGTTTCACGGGCAGAATTACTTTCACCTACTACCCTTACAATTCAGTCTAGTAAGGCAACCTATATGAGAAGCATCTTAAAATACAGCAGGTAAATTTGTGACAATGATATGCTATCAAGGTTTATGGTCAATTTTAGGCATGTTATGTCCACTTCCTTTTAAACTGGCAATGTAAATAATGGATCACCACCTTTCGATAGCAATGCTGTTATCTGTCTCACTTTGGCACAATCTCATGAAGCTTTTAATAAAGCAGACACACTGCAGACTATGAGAAATAACTGAAAAGTACCTAACAGGCAGACTTGTTAAATATTCAGAAACAAATCCGGCAATAATTACAGAAAACCACTATGAAGAACAGGAATAGTTACTCGATAGAAGCTTGGGGGAAGAGGAGAAAAGGATGGGGAAAACTGTTCTTGTGCTAGACTCATTTTTTCAAAGTTTTTCCAGTGGTATTATTAAAAAAAAAAAGAAAAATAACTATACCTTCAGCTTCATGTGAAAATGCATTAACAAACTTCAAAGTAGTGAAAAATAGCTGCTCAAAAGCTGGCATTGCTGCTTTCTGCAGCTTGTTTAGATACAGATTCCTTCACTTCACTTGCAGTAAACGGGGAGCATTCAAGAAGCTAATTGTGTCTCCATGTCAGGAAAAAAAAAAAAATCACGAGAAACAAGTTTACCTCACCTCCTTAGAGAGGTCTCTTGTCACAGTCCAAGCTGAGGGAAAACCTACAGGACAGATGCCACCACTGTCTCACTTACATTGCAAATAATTGAGCTTTATAAAAGGTCCTTCCAGACTCCAGTATGCAAAAACGCAAAAGTATTTTCAATCCTATCATCAACTTAAGCTTCCTAGGCCACAAGAATGAAAAATACTTAAGGTTGATCAGAAAGGACAACTTTACCACCACTTCTTCCACACAAGAGTTACCTTCCAGGCTTCTGTTCGCTGTGCTTGGGTCACAAGCCAACCAGCCATTCACTTGAGCAAGGCTAAGGTTTCGTGAGAAAGAGGGGCACAACTGGCAACAACACTTGAATGACAGCCCACAACACATTTCTCCCATCTCCAGCCAAGATGATCGCTAACAGAAGTAGACTGTCAGTCTCCTTGGAAAGAATTTCTGCAGCCCTGCAAACTTCCCAGTGTGGTGGGTTGACCCTGGCTGGAGGCCAGGTGCCCACCAGAGCTGCTCTATCACTCCCCTCCTTCACTAGACAGGGGAGGAAAAGTATAACGAAATGCTTGTGGGGCAAGATAAGGACAGGGAGAGATCACTCACCAATTATTGTCACAGGCAAAACAGACTGAACTTAGAGAAAAATTCATCTAATTTATTACCAAGCAAAACAGAGTAGAGGAACGAGAAACAAAACCAAATCTTAAAACACCTCCCCCACCCCTCCCATCTTCCCGGGCTCAACTTCACTCCCGGCTTCAACATCCTCCCCCCTCAGTGGCACAGGGGGACAGGGAATGGGGGTTACGGTCAGTTCATCATGCGGTGTTTCTGCTGCTTCTTCATCCTCAGGGGAGGACTCCTCACACTCTTCCCCTGCTCCAACATGGAGTCCCTCTCACGGGAGACAGTCCTTCACCAACTTCTCCAACATGAGTCTCTCCCATGGACTACAGTCCTTCACGAACTGCTCCAATGTGGGTCTCTCCCACAGGGTGCAGACCTTTAGGAGCAGACTTCTCCAGTGTGGTCCCCCATGGAGTCACAAGTCCTGCCAGCAAACCTGCTCTGGCGTGGGCTCCTCTCTCCATAGGTCCACAGGTCCTGCAAGGAGCTTGCTCCAGCACGGGCTTCCCACAGGGCCACCGCCTCCTTCAGGTACCTCTACCTGCTCCAGCGTGGGGTCCTCCATGGGCTGCAGGTGGAATCTCTACACCCCCTCA